GTCATGGCCGCCACTCTCGCCCGCAGGCGCAGTGTCTCTTTCGCGCACGTGCTTTCTGATCATTACCTAACCTCACTTAGCTCACGAAGCCCCGCCTTCCAGCCGCCAAGCCAATTGTTTCGAAGAGTACAGGCTACTGCATGACGAAGGTGCAATACCTTTGGGCGTGAACGCGGCTTTATTAGCCGCAGAGCGCATAAGGCGCAGGGTTTACAACGGTGATGATACGCGCCGAGTTCGCGTCGCCCCAACTAATATCTTCTGCGCCTTCATCCTGCAGTAGCCTTTACATCATATAAACACCTAATATGATTATGGAAAGAAACGGTAGAAGAAAATTACAAAGGATAACAGAAACACCAAAAGTATCCTAAACCTATGCCTCGCTTCGAGATTTCAGATCTTCGCCTTCACTGTAATAATGATGCTGAACAAATCCAAACAGCTCCTGAAAGTGTTGACAGTAAAAACAAGCACTTCTCTCCCTGCCTGAATAGTGAGCTAGAAACGTGCTGCAAGGTTTCTGAAGTTCCCCAACCCAAGTTTGTTCTACCTGATATAAGCTTAACAAAGACCAAGGAAAATGTTCTATAATGAATTCAAGAAGCGAAGTGAAGCCTGATAGCTTTTGCTGGTATCAGGGAAGTACCGGCTGTTCTGTATAAAAAGGAACTTTTTTCTGCGACGCTTCAGAGCAGAGTCTTATAACGCAGCCATGCTTGGTATTATTGGGAACTTTTCAGCTTTGAAACAATATTTGCGACCGAGCAAAAGTCACGCAGTCACAACCCGAGACGAGGGTGGCACACATCAAATTGGAAGTAAAAAGAACGTTGATAGGATTCATTAAACATCCCCACTTACAATAAACAAGCTATTTCATCTGACGTGCTCAAACACGATCTTGCTCGAGGCGCGAAATTTCAAATCCAGCTTTCTTTGTACTGAAAAGAGAGGTAAGAAATCGAAGCGGTTAATCCAAACAATCGGCATACCATTAGAACAGCAGAAACACTGATTCTGAATCTGTATTCCGTATCTGCTTACCGCCTGTGTGGGAGAAGTTATAAGGCGTTAAAGGCCGTTATTTTGCTAAGAAATCGTGCATGAGAAGCGCAAATTTGGCAATACAAGCCATGTTCGGCTCAATGCTGTGTCAAAACATGCAGCTAGGTTACTTTATGATCTTAGAGGTGAGCTGAAAGTGCAACAATGTGCTTATGTTCACAATTTTTATGCGCGAATTTTTCGCCATAAAACTACACGTAACTTCGTACACAAAGGCGCTAAGCAGATATGGAATACAGATTCGAAATAAGCGTTGTATGCTGCATCGAATAGTAGGCAGCTTGCTTGGATTAGCCACTTTGACTTCTAACCATTCCCTTGTGAGTAACGAACAGTCGACCCTTTTACACAGTGCAGGCAATGTCAAGGCACAAAACGTAGCATGTAAAGGGTAAACTGGTGACAGAAGTCATCCATAATATATCATGAGAAAATTAGGTGTTGAAGGGTGTAAGCTTTTACTTGAAAATCAACTATTTAAAGGACTCGTTTGCAATGCGCAGGTAACGATGCCAAACCTGGCAGGTCATGGGCAGTGAAGTGCGTAGTATATAGAAAGTTTGAGTACAACAGTGGCAAAAGAAGACTTTTTAGGTAGCTAGCGCTCGCAGGGAAACCGTGAAATTTTAGGCAAGTTATTTTTCAAAACTACCTTTGCCATCAAAATGCTGCGTTCTATCAATATTAAAATGATTTCTCATGGGGAAAAACATTTTTGGAACAAAACGTTGACTGAAAAAACACGCCTTGTTGAGGTGATGAATTAGCTGAGCTGCTCGTCGCATAGTCTTTTGAACTCTCTAACACAAACTTGGTATTGCTACCATCCAAAAATTTGATAATAGTAGAGGGGTCCGAACGGCACCTTTGCTTTCTAAGTCCTAATACCTACTCCAAAATTACACCAGCGCCATACTAACGCCCTGCCGAAACGATCGAAAAAGATGAGGTGTTTCGTGGTTGCTGGCAGGGCGCTGTCACGGCGCTGTCACGGCGCTGACACGTGCGCGGACCGGGCTGGCATAATTGCAACTTTGGACGCAGCTTAACAAGTCATCTTTATGTATGGAATCCTAGACTGGAAAGCAGGCTTCAAGTACGTACGTTGATCAAGTATAGCAAGTAGAATATATTAAGTTGTTCCGGAAGTTCTTTCTGTATTTTTAACCTATCATAAAAACACGTAGAACAAAGATAGGGAGGCGCTTCAGGCACTACCCAACCCAGCTTTTCTTCCTCCTTTTAACAGTCGTATTCCTGTGCCGATTGCTTTTGTGATCACTGAGATAATCGCCGAAATTTCGAGCCCATGGTTTTTACCATCGCCAACTTTGGCAATTTTTCACAATTCATTTTCAACTCTTGGAATAGCTTTGATAGCAATTAGATAAAGTAAAAAAGCGCAATGCTAAAAATTTTTTGGCAATTTCAACTGGCTTCTCAGTGTTTTTAAGATAGTTTTCCAGAAGTATTCACTTTTTCGAAGTCAAAAAATACATAAACGCTCCGAACATTAACAAACCTTCGGAAGTCGAAATTTTCAAAAGTTGTATGATCACTATTTTTACAAGGTAACTGAGCGTTTACCGCTTCAAAATAGAAAATCTCGCATTTCAAGTGTATACCCTTAGGCGGGTTCAAAATCAAAAATCATGGAAATTTTTTTGTCAAAAAACCCCACAAATTGGGAGGAAAAAGCACCAATCAGAAAGAGAAAAAAAAGCACATTGAATGACACTTTAGTTGAGCGTCGTTTTGTATTCTATGGCCCTTGGCATCGCCAAAAGTGGAATTTGATAGCATCACAAAAGTAAATCTAAAAATTTTTAGAGGCTAGCTATAGATGCCGAAAAATTGCATTATATTGCACTTTGTTTACTCTATCTAACTGTTATCAAAGCTTTTCAAAAAGTCAGAAAAGAAGATCATGAAAAATTGCCAAAGTTGGACGTGGTAAAAACCATGGGTCCGAAATTTCGGCGATTACCTCAGTGACAATGACAGTGACCAGCACAAGAGCATGATAGTTGGAAAGGGGAAAAAAGCTGCCTCGGATATTTTTTGCAATGCTTGCCTATCCTTATTGCATAAGTTTTTATGACAGGTTGAAAAAACGGCAAGAACTTTCGGAACGGCCTAATATATTAGGTTGTCCCAAAAGTTTTGCAGGTTTTTTTCTATAAAACCACGCATATGGAAGAACTGAATGAGTTTTGCATTCGGTGCAGCTTTTCCTTCTCCTACTTATGGTTACATTTCCCAGCCACAATCCTGTGTGCTTTTTTTTGAAAATTGCCACAACTTTTCACCCGTCATTTTTACCTACTTAATGTTGGGCTAATTTTCAAAAATTTTCGAAGTTTCGGATAGAGTTGAGTATGGCACAAATAGAACGATTCTAGGACTATACGGTAATATTTTAGATTCTCCTCACCTACTGTTGTTAGCTTTGAAAAACTATTTCTTCAGAGGTCTCGCTTTTTGGCAAAGTCATGGACCCCCCCCCCCCACAAGTGCAGCAAAAACAGGAAAGCTTTTGAAATTTCTGCGAACTAAAACTTGATTGCTTATAAACATTATTTATGCAAAATAACCAAGTTTAATTTGCTTTGAAAAATCAGTTTTTGGAATTTTTTCGGTAAATTTACGTTGCAAACGTAATCAAATAGCCGCGGTTTTACTTGAACACATGATTATTTGAGGCTTAATAAACTTGGCACATAAACTATAATAACTACAATGTAGCCAAAGATGCTCTACATAACACTTATTAGTGCTCTTTAAAAAATAGCAGAAGAAAAATTTTCAAAATTCAGCAAAGATCTGACGTTATTGTTGTGCTGCTCAGAAAGCCATGGCGATAACATCGGAAAGACAGAGTAGATCAGAGAGCAAATATAGCTGTGAATCAAATGTACCTAGACCGTCCATAGAGGGCGTTTTGTGGGTTTTAGTGGGCGATGAAAAAACTGACAAAGCTTTCGCGACAACCTGATACATTCTTATCGTAAATATGTAACTTATAAATCTATGCTTTTCAGTAGTTCTCTAATTTAACTACCAAAATACCGTACGTCTCTATTTTTTATTGAAAATCAGTTCATTAACTTCGTTAGGCTCATCCTCTGATGGTTTCTGAGTGTTCTTTAGGTTTAGGTCAATTTTGGTTAGGACCTTAATCTATTCCCGTACTGTTTTTGATTTTGCATTCATGGTACACATTTTGTATTGCTAATAATCTTACTTCCCCTGCTTGAATTATTCCTTTTTCGATGTGAAACAGATGTATGATGTAGCTTTCCAAATATTTTCAAATATGATTTTCATCAAAAAGTAAAAATAACCACAAAAGTTTAACCACACGGGAACTTTGCAAGCATTTAGGAACTTTCAAAAATTGTTGAATGTATGTCCTTGTCCCGCCACCAGTTCAAAGAATGACTACCATTCCCGGTTGCTGAACCTAGCAGATTTTGAGGGTCCCTTGCTCACGATCGGTTATATCAATGAGTATAACAGAGCTTTATCGCTACTCCCTGACTGTCAACGGACAGATATTTATACTATCGAAAAATACCTTACCTTGCCTGTCCATCTTCTCTCCAAAATGTTTTCCCAAGATGCATAGAATTCCTCCTCAAATCAACACCTGAACAGTCACACTGCTACAGCGATTATTTATAGAAAACATAAAAAACCAGTTGAGATACACGTGGTGAATGACTTTAATCTCTTGATGAGAGTAATTGTGTTTTGACAATTTGCAGAGATTTTCGAACTTGTTCAGGTCTCGATCTAAAAGATTTTGGAGAAATAACCCTGCTAGGATGTTATTGTGGTAGCCAATACTTTCGGTGATTTCCGAATGACAATTTTTAGATGTAAACCAGAAGTTATGCGAATTTATTGAAGATCATCAAAAAATCGAAGTAGACATAAATATGATAAAATTGTGAAAACCTTATGCCATATCAAATCAAGTAGAAGGCGAAAAAAGAGTATAGACATAATCTGAACGATTTTCACACTATGAAGCAAATCAAACAAACGCCTAATAAGGGTGAACGAAAGAGAAAAGAGATGTGGATATACATTAAAAAGACGGAGTGAAGCGAGAATAAGGCGGGCGATCATGAGTCATTATGATATTTCAGACAATAAGAACTTTGTTATTAATCTCAGTAACCGCTGTCCTCCAGATATTTGGCCATCTTCTCAACCGCTGTCCGTACTTCAGCCGAGACCTGATTCTCTCCCTCGTATATGGCGATTAGAATGGCTATAAATGGCAAGATAATAGAATATAAGTCTGCTGGAATGCATAAAAGAGGCAAAGAATCTGAGTACCAGTTTTCGTCTTAGCAGCGAAAAATCCACATTTTTCTTTCTTGCCAAAGATGAGGTTCTCTTCGGTGCGAGGAACGATGTAGTGAACCTGAAGAGACGCATTTTGTCAGCATAGTCAAAAACATAGTGAAAATATCATCTTTACATTTCTGTGAGCGTAAAGCTAAATCAAAAATGTTTTTCTGAGTTTTACCTCTTCCAGATCGGCTCCAGTTGACGGGACATTTGCAAGATTGTCAAACAAAGCGACAAACTTCTTCAGCTCCGCTTCAGTTGCCTAAATGTAGGTATAAAAAGAAGTGTGTTACTACGTTCGTTTTCCATATAGTTATAATTTTTTATTCCCGCGGATGGGTTGATCATTAAATATTATGCATTTGTAACCCCCTGATGAGTTGAAAATATACGAATAATTTGAGATTACTGGTAATTTACCTTTGTATGCATCATTAATGCGTTCTAAACTTTTTTTAATGTTGTGAGATCATACCAATTACAATACTGTGAAGAGTGATCGAAAATACGTTGCCAAATAGTGTTCCCGTACCCACAGCAGCCTCCAACTCCCCACTCCCCCCCCCCCCCCCACCAAATGGAGACACCAACGAAAAATTCAAGTGGTGTTGTTGTGCAGCAAATAGCCCTCACGTTAACCTCAAACGTTTTTTGAGGTGACATTGGCGGCTGCAATTTTGGTCTAGATCGTTGCGAATATCTAAGAAGATTTGCGAACATAACGGTGTAAATTTTCCTGCTGTTCCAGTTATTCCCAAGTGCAATCAACGCAACATCTATAAGGTTGCTAGATGTTTCACGGTCTGGTTCCCTTGCAGAAAAAGCTTCAAAAAAGACGATAGCCGTCTGGCTGTCAGGTACTGTACCTCAGCCGACAACTGCACTCTTCAAAAGAAGTCTGAACCAGGCAAGGGGACTGTCGAAATGGGCCAGTTGCATGCAACTGCAATTACATGCGTATTTAGCATTGCCGGCCCGAAACGGAAATATCAGACACGCGGCGCTAATATAATTCAAACAATCGGTTCATTAACTGCGGGATCGATAGAATAACGCAATGAGCTGGGTGTCCGATGGTCCGCTGACGGACGCGGAACAGCCGAGCCGTTTCAGTCGAGAAAAACAGATGGTCCTTGTGGGGGGGGGGGATGGGACGAGACGACCACCACTGTGGAAGTCGAGCACGACTAAGCACGATGAACATCTGGCAAATAGTAGCCACATTAGCGGTCTTAATGAGTTGGGCAATCTGTTGTGACTATTCGTTTGTACGACGCTATCGATATCGCGCGATTCGTTAAGCAGTAATTACCAACTATTTCATACTTGGAGAGCACATCTGCTAGCGGCACGTAACTGCGCAGGAGTTGATCAAGTAGGGCAGTAAAGTCAACATTCTTCGTTCATCAACAATTTACACTTTATAAATGGCCTAAAACCATTCGACACGAAACTGCAATATCAATGAAAACTTCGACAGCGCAAACTGTGAGGAAAGGCTTCATAGATATGATATATCTAATGCTGTGGAGTGAGGACAGTAGAAGAAATCATTCGTATAAAGAAAAATTTAGTTTATGGTTGTTAATTTTGTTATAGGTAACTACAATTATATACTACTAGCAGTATCAAAAAATTGGCCCAGAGGAAACCCTAATTTTACTACAAATTGGAATCCTCAGCTAAACACTTTTTGATTTGTTTCAACTATCCAAAAATAAACATCTTGAGAGTATTCATTTTGGAAAAAGAGGCTGAAAATTTACAGTAATAATACAGGATTATTCATGTCCGATTAAAAAAAAGTTCTGAGAGTCGAGTCGATTCATAGAGTTTACTACAAAAAGCCTCCTCTCTTGTGAACTGACTAAAACAGATTTTTACCAAAATTAGCTTTTCTTACAATGTCTAAGGTGCAAATGATAAGCTCAAAAGATTTTGCGAAAGCGTATTTAGCATGTATGTACGAGCCAACCCCTTCAGCCTCTAGAATTTCACTCAGAAAAATCTTATAAAAAATCTAACGATAGATTATAAACACTGATAATCACTCAACCAATCAAATTCATTAATCAATTCACTTTACTGATAATACTTTGGTTTGGTGAAGGTATACTCAATGATTCAAAAATGACAGTAATAATTATAATAATTACCCGGAAGGCATTGGCGTTTTGAGTTCGGGCCCATACGGATCCGTCGGTGCCGATGATGGCTGCCCTCTTGATGGCAGGCGACGAGTCCGTCATCGACGTGATGTACGCTTGCCATCCAGACATTCTGGAGCAGAATTCGACATTACTGCAGTAAAAAATCGCAGAAAAAATGTGCATTGAGCTGCACTATACATATGGGACTGCGTAGCGAACACACACACCCATCTATCATACCGGGTGTACGGAACTCGTAGCGGTGAAAATGAGACATGAGGGAAAATGAGGCTATCAATATTCATGGTGCGTACGAGAGAGAAAGAGTAGTGGTGAATCGGCAGCACTGTCGATGTCGGAAGTCATCGTGAACTTTTTCGCAAGCTTTGGACGATTGTTGGTCTTTATCAGCGTTCATTAAAGGAGTAAACAAGAGATAAACAAAATTGGCTGTTTGTTCTTGGAGACAACAAGAAAAACATCAGCAGAGGCAGCGCGATCATTCGCAGATTTATGGTCAATCTCTTTGAAATTCAACTGTAAAAAGGCAACAAAAAAGGAATGCTGCATGGGAAAAAAAGAAGAGGAAAAACTTGTTCGGAGCAAAAAAGGTGAAATAGAACATTCAAAATGAAAATTTATGTAGATCACTTCCTCCACAAGTTCGATTTCCAGGAAACAAAACGATCGTAGTCGCATATGAAAAATAATCCAAGGACTAATGTTCTCAAATGACCACAATTTATGGATTCGAGCAATGAATTCCGGATTCTGAGTCAGACTGAGTGAGAGACTGTTGAGATAACAGGTTGGTGTCACGACTGTTCGAATGAAAAGTAAAAGACGCCTATGAACTTAGCGAAATTCTCGAGATATGTGTTCAATCACGATTACAGCGTTAGGTTTTGATTAATACAAATGAAAAAATAAAGAAAAACAAATCAAAACAAGTCAGTGAGCAGCAATCATTAAGGAGGATTCGGCGAAGTCTCAAAATTGGTAATAAACCAGCAAAATGTATTAGAGCAGCCCTTCCCTAAAAATGCGAACAAAATAAGAGGTTGATAAAATGTGCCTACCCGCGAACAATTTTCGCACTTTCCGATCAGATAATTTTGCTCGATAGTTTACACTAGCCAAAAGGAATTGCTAAACTTTCGATAATAAACAAATTGTAAAAAGATAATGCCTTGTATTGTCAAGATTGTGTAAAAACACGTTTTTTCGGCAGTGCCACAAGGGCACGAAGAAAGGAGCGCAAAGGATTTGGAGTACTATGCGGAGGGCATGCTCAGGACTTCCACCTTCAAAACGGCAGGTTATGCAAAGAGGCGCTTGGAGCGGGCAGCAAAGACCAGAGATCGCCTGGACAGCAGCCTTTACCCACAAGTTTTGGACTTACTTGACTCAAAGTCGAATTTTAGAAATATCCGAGGCAGCCGAGTGAGTGCGGGAATCGATCGAATTGCGTCGAAATTCGGCCGCGAATGGAGGAGGGAAGGTTGGAGGCCATTTACGGATAAAGCAACCGTCAGTGAAGACCGAGCGCCAGCAACAGCCGCCGCCCTTGTACTGCCACGTCCGTCTCCCTCCCCTATGGCAAATGGTTCCCAAAGCGGGGGGAGGAGGCGAACTGCATAGGAGCAAAGAAAATAAGCTGTGCAAAAACGAAACACAGTCCGAGGGTGGCGGCAAGGATGGCGCCGATCGGCCAGCACACCACCACTAGGTACCTGAGCCCCCGATGTGGAACTAGTCAGCGCTATTTGCGCTCTATCGTCTCGACTCGCGACTCGAACAATACTACCACTAATATATGACTGTGACAGTGCAGGTTGAACAGGAACAAGCAGAAGTGGTGGAAATGCGGTGGCAGAGGGGCAACCGGCCGGGCAAGCGGCGGGTTCAAGTGAGGCGATGATTGCAGATCAGGCGCTGGTCAACGGATTTTTTCCCGCCACCGAGCGGCCAGGAAGAAGCAGTGACCAGTCCGGGCAGCAGCAGCACCGAAGCGCTGAAGGCTGGGCAATGGAGGAGAATACATTTGATTGAGTGAAGACATTGTTTCGCAAGTGTTAGTCATCGGCTAGTAGGTGTGAGATGCGGAGAGGGGGGAGAGCGGGGCGGACCCTCGGATGAGTAATCAAAGGAAAGGACACTCCCCGAATAGCATTCGCCCCCCACCAGCCGCGGCTACTGGGCATCGATCTCGACGTTGTCGCCGATGAACGAATTCTGATGAGGTGACCGACGGTATCGGCCTGATTTCACTCCTCCAATTGGAACGGGAACGGCCGAGCCGCGGAAGGCTTTGCGCCGAGTTTCGCAACGTTGTCCTCCGCTTAATTGAGCCCGAGTCGAGCTTAATATGGCTGCTCTTGCGAAAGTCATGCAGAACCATGTTTGATTGGGTGGCTGACTCATTGCTCACAGTCATAACAAACTTTTTCAATAAAGCCTGCTCTCTATGTAAATTCCATGGTCAATTATGCCTCTGCCATCTGTCAACGATTTCTTAATTCCACAGATCATGATAACATCTGCAAAAGGCGATAAAATATGGTGCGCTGTGACAAACTTTAGGGAATCACTTCAGTATTGGAGTTTTAGAGGAAATTATCAGCTGTAAATGGACTTCGACGGCGAAATTCTCTGAAAAAACCTTCATTTGTTTGCTCAAAGGTTCGCTAGAGGCGTGCATGTCATTTGAAACATAGAGTAAAGCAGTAATAAATAATTAGATGACCAATCTTACATAGGGTTTATTCAAAGCCAAAGCTCATGAGAGATATTGGGAAGCGAAGAAATGAGAAACACTTCAATAACCTCAATTGCAAAAAGTCACTATCTCAGATTTGTCACATCATCTATCAAAAAACTAAAAGAATATTCTCTCAAGAAATGAAAATTGAGATAGTTTGGAAATAGTACGAATTTTAATCAAAAATTCTATTACGAGTGAGTTCGAATAGGTTTTGTGAGGCTATGCCGTATAAATTACTAGGATCACGGTTGTTTTTTCTAAAGACAGCAACGACTGAATTTCGATTGTACTTTTTTTGAACAAAATGGAGAAGAATCCCAACATTAATAGTATAATGAAAAATCTGATAGCGAAAGCGTAATGATTCTCTAATAATCTGCAATCGCTAAAATGACAAAAATCAAACACCAAAAATACGAGAAAAATAGAACAATCGAAACAAGTGAATCATAAAAATACATATACAAAGCCTCATTCAAGAAAATTCGTCTAAGTCACAAATTGCGGTGAAAATAAGAGACGTAAGGATCGAGAACGATGGATGAATGTACATACGCGCCACTAGACTACCACCCCACTACGACCATCACCATCCGAGACGACCTCATTTCGTACGACAGCACCGTTTTTTCTCACCTGCGTTACGTGTATTGGCCTTTTTGGTGCTTCTTCGATGGCACTTTGGCATAAAAAAACCATACGCTGGGAAAATATTGACAAACTATGTTCAGAGATATCCAAGAATGTTCAAATCATTTTTTCATAAAGCGCTTTTGGTTACGGGGAGAGACAATAGCCAAGGAGTGCAAACTTCCATGAAACAGAAATTTTTGAAGCCACTTTGATTAGATGGAGTTATTCCATCGGAGAGTCAGTACATACTAGGTAGGTTCATGAGTCTTAAACAAAAAGTTTCAAGAAGGATTATTTCCTCCGGCTTCAGCAAATTCTTTTGATTTAGAACGAATGACGGGAGTGGTTCTAGCGCTTTTTATCAGTGGAAATGAAAATCAGTGACTGCATATCACGGCTACATATGCTGATAGAAAACAATACTTGAACATCGTCTTCTTTTTTCAAATTTTGATTGCTGAAAATGCTGAAAAAAACCTCATCGAACTAAATAAGTTTTGACTGCAGTTTTAGACCCTCTTATTTTGAGAAGAATATTCTAGAGTATTTTGAGGGGAATTCCTAGCGCTTTTTCCCTGTGAAAGCGAAAACAATGATTGCACATCACGGCTATACATGCTTATAAAAAACAATACTAGAATGTATTTTCTTGAATTTCGGTTGCTAAAAATGTGAAAAAATCTATCAAACTTTTTGATGTAAGACTGATTCAGTTCTGATTGCAGTTCTACGTCCTACAGATTTCCTAAGAAAAATCAATGCTGATCGGTTTTTACGAACAGACAGTAGTGTCTAACAACATATTGCTTCTGTTTCGAATAAAATCTCAATATGTACATTATATTACTGCAATTACTGTTTAAAACAGAAACATTACGGCTTTCCCAAATAAGTTGAAAGTGATTATATCTTGTTGATGTAAAACCTTACTTAGTGATTATAAAGAGAAACTAGAAAATATAAGAGGAAAAAATTACGAAATCGTCATAGAGGAGTCTAATAGAAAGGGAAAGCAGTTTACATTCACATTTCATGACTTCTATGAGAATTGCTTGTAGTGTGAAAAGCATAAATGAATGAACCTTATTGACATACTGCGTTAAAATGCGCAACATTAATCAATTTCGCCGATACAGATCTTAAATTCGAGATCTTACAAATAAGTTTTGTTTGTCTAGGAGTACTGCACTTAGCAGATTAGCCGAAGTAAACGTTGGGGGAGGGGGGGGGGGGGGTAGAAAGAGAAAGAGGAAGTGATAATGTCAAATTCGATATTGGTTAAAATTGAATATAAAAACAACAGTGGAAGCAGCGCTTAAGCACCCGGCCCAAGAAGACCCAAAAAGCCTAAAAGCGCCAGAAAGAGCCGGAACGACCCCTCCCTGTGCACGTTTTGACGCTAAGGAATGTGTGTTGATTTCGCAACCGAGTCTTTCTGGTTCATTTTCCGTCGTCTACACATCAAGATTATGTCAGAATTCTACCAGAAGTTCGTTTCTGCGTTCCGGCTCTTTCTGGCGCTTTCGGGCTTTTTCGGGCTTTTTTTAGGCTTTTTTGAGCTCTTTTGAGCTCTTTTGGGCTTTTCTCGGCAAAGTTTGACGGGTCCCTTACTGTATTTGCATTCCTCGTATACACTTTCCCTTTCGACCTAACTGATTCTAGGTACGGACTATTTCTGAATAACTATTGAAGTTTAACAAAAACAGAGTCCTCAAAGCACGAATTTGGGTGAGGAGAATGACCACAGAAAGGTGAGTCATGAAATGCAAACCGAAAATTATAACCTCAAACATTTTACGAGATTTTGATTATTGCCTTAAGACATATTTCTAACGTAAGCACTGTTTTCTCTATTTCCGTTCCAAAAAGGAAATTGAACCATGCAGAAAACCAACTGGACGGGAAAGCAATATCCCGTGATTCATACATTTGAGGATATGGAAATTTCCTAAGTTGTAGGATTTGATAATTCTGATATTTTTGATGAAATTTCTTCGATATATTTAATCTTCACTTTTTGTGGCTACAATATGCATACTCAGAATTTTTTTTTGCTCCTTGTAGCCGAAGTTGACAGAATTTTAAACAGAATTAAATCATTATTATCACTACTCCTTCGCGAAAGTCATCTTTGAAGCTTAACGTGATTCATTTCATTTGCAGAATTCAGGATGAAAGATTATGTGAAGACTATGCAGATTCTATGATATTTCTCACCTTAATCCTACTAATCTCTCCGGTTCAAAAGAAAGATGTGCAACGACAGAACAGCGACATTTTGGCGAAACAAAAAGTCTGGAAATACGATGACTCAAGCGCTTCTCTGCTATTTCGCAAGCGATGGCTATGTTTCATTTGTTAGAGTGGGCATGATGTCTAGAACAATCTGTGAAATCTGCAATTTTCGGGAATTTTCAAACTTCGTCTTTGAAAAAGAGGACAAGAGATGAAAATCGAATCGCTGTTGAAGTCAAAGTGCAAGCAATTTTTGCAGGACATATAAATTGTGCGATTTTGTCTGCTAGTACAAATTATTTAGGTCGGTAAAGTCAGCTCCAAAAACATGTCTCAATTCGTTTATCAAATGGTACCAGTTACTCTACTTGCATCACCAAGTATCTATTAGACTGAAAGTAGTTACACAAAATGATTTCCAGGTTTTTAAATACGTAGTTTTGTTGCTTTGCCTTTTTCCTTGGTTTTGTATTAGGAAAAATTCCCATTTTTTTGAATTATTCAGAGATTAAATTGATAATAATAACTGAACTACATTAGTAATTAACTAACAGACTTGTCGAGACGCAGACTAATTAGATGGTCCGACAGTCCCCACGAACTGGGCGGTGCCCGGAAACTCCAGATGAGCTGCACTCCCCGGGTGCTCGATGGTCCCCTCCCATTAATGTCCCCCATTCGAATATATATGTTATAATGATAAAATCATCTAGTTAGGATCTGTTCTGTTAAGAAGCAATAATACACCAGGGTAGAGGGATCAAGTCCCGAGATTAGCTAACTCGTTAGACTTGACATGGAGGTCAGTTCGTGGGGACCGCCGGACTATCTAATTAGTCTGCGTCTCGACAGACTCTTGCAATAAACAATGACTGGTTTTTGCCCTAAGTGCACTAATTGAATAAGGTAATATAAAACCAACACAAAATCACCTTGTTCTAGTTTTCGCTCACAGATCGCCCCCCAAATCTGTACTCGGGCTACCCGCCAAAGGAAGTTAAAGTACTCAAACTCATTGAATGTGAAGGGCATTGGAGCAGTTTAGCTTTATCCACTGCATCGAGAAACAGAAATTCTCCACTGAATGAAAATGATGATATCACATGAAATTATGACAAAACTTCGCAATCGACCAGTATTCCATAAAATCTGGCAGAATCATAGGAATGTATCCTATCACTATTAAAATCGATGTATAGACACAAATAAAACTGACATTTTGTTTCACGGAACATGAATCACTGCTGACCTTCGAAGGAACAGAAATGCTACAAAACGATCGCAATGTATAGAATGTATTCATTCCTGCACTTCCAATGTACATCGCATTGCCAAAGCTTAGGAGGTTCAGGACTTTTTATAAAATTTATATGAGAAAATCAACTATGTACAACAGAAAATTGGCACATCACCTAATGTTCTGCGAAGCCTATAAAAATCTGTATAACCTGTAAAACATATCGATACACGTTGAATCACATGTGTAAATGAGCGGAAGAGAGATGATTGTTCAGATTAGCAGGCAATTAAATTTATTTTGAACAAATTTGTTGTGACCAAATGGAAAAATTTGGAGCTTAACCTGTGTCAGACTGAGCGCTGAACCTAATTCTGAACAATTTTTAACAGTTATAAGAAAGAACATCATCAATACGTTCGATTGATCACAACTCGAGTGTCATTGATGGTTGAGTAAAGGTCGCGACCGGCTCGTCATCACTCATGTCCCATTCTTCACATCCAGTATATTTTGAAGATTTTTCGACATATAAAATGGCTTCTCTGGGCTGCCATCGTTCTGCTCGGAATCTTCCACTAAAAAGAATCAAATTCAGCTTTTCCGGTTGATTTCAGAGGCTTTAAAAAGTGATATCAGAACGTAAATTAGAGTAAACTCACAAAAGCATATAAAAGTTGTATCGACGGCCATCTCATAGACATCAAAGAACAAATCCGCAACGAAATAACTTCCTAAGCGATTTTTCCAAAAGTGAAAACGCTACAAGCATCATAATAATAATACTCACCTATTAGAACAATGATTATTGGTACAAAATAGTAATAGAGATCGACCCGTGGGATACCATCGACAACCCATTGACCGGAAAAGTAGAAAAAAGCGACGACACCTAAAACGGATTTGTTTGAGCAGACTTTGTAGCAAGTCTGAATTTTTTTTGAAAAATTATCTGCAAAAGAAAGCTCCGCACAAACGGGTATCTCGTTTGCATCCACTTTTTCACACTTTTTCAATTGTAATAAATAGCAGTCTTTAGAAAGATTGATTAATTTCAATTCTTCATAACTCCAGCAATTCTCAGAATCAAAAATCAAACATGTGTGATTATACTGCCGAAACGAATGACTATTGTTCATTTTGATACATTTCAGCAAAATATATTGCCCATGTCATCTATTGCAACGACAGGAAAATGATAGATGCCGTCAAGAATTATGTTCAAAAATGCCAAAGCAAAATTATTCATTGCAAAATCAATATTTCGCAAAATCTCAGCGAACTAAACTTATGGAAAAACAACTGCATGAACAGATTTTTGCTTTTGTCCCACCTCAACTCGGATGCATTAAAGAAATATAGGACAGCAGTATCCTTATCGTCTAGAAAAAAACTATTATTTTATTCCGTTTTCCAAGGTTCCTAAGAAATAGTTCAGTAGAAGCGAAAATTGGCTACGGATACTGATGTTTAATTCATTTCGCATTTTACAAACGAGTCAGCAGTAATGTAGATATTGATATACAACCATTATGCACTCTAACAATAATTTTGTTGAACAGCCAACAACGAAAGAGAGATTTCAAAAATTCTAAATAAAGAAAATACTGCCCGGTGATCAAATTACTTATCTTAGAAAAATTTTGCCAGATTGCTTAGGCCTGACGGATGATCCATTTAGTCATCATTTTCTTCCAAAAATATTTAGGCTAAAGTACCTTTGCCCTGACAACGACTTGAGACGCAGTAGTCCAGCAACGTAGTACAATTTTCAAAGGGACCTTTGCAATAAACTAAAGCGCTCTAGGAAAACAAAATAACATACACAAATATGCTTGTTGTTGCTCATTTGAACTTGAACTTTACCAATAACAAAGCAAAATGTGTAAGCCTGCATATTCGTTGAAAACAAAAAACAATGCAATGCTGCAAATGTTGAAAATGGCATGTGTCAATAAATCGCCGTTTTTCTAGTTGTCACGTTACAAATGGAAAATATAGAACCACGAAATGGATTTCGTTTGACTTGTCTTTTCAGAAATTGTTGAAACCTTAATAAGTAAATAGGGGCTGCAACCTTATAAATTGCAATGCTTTTATAGATCCTATCTTGTTCCTCATTGAAGTCAATATACAAATTGTAAATCATACAGATCATCATAAGTATTACACGGACTTCATATCTTATTTCAATTTCAGCAATCGCTCACTAGTGATTAAGCATTTATTAGATGATGCACAATTCTTGCGCCGAAATATAGAGAAAAATTATTTCAAAAGTGTTTAAACAAACTAATCAACGTACAGATTATGCTCTTTGTTGTATATCGAAATTAGTAATTTATATAGATTTCAAAAATTCAATATGAAACAAAGTCAAAAAATCAACTCAAAAAACCCAAATTCGTAACTATTCGCAGAGACATCCAATCACTATAAACTTCTCTTAGGTAGAACGAGCATGTCATGAAACTTATTGTTAGACCAAAAATAAATTCAAAGTCTAGCAGACGTTTTAGCAATTTCAGTGAAGAAGAATCGAAAAACACTTTTTGCTCTTATTCAGTTTGTATCGTTGTCATATGCCCTCAAGGAATTTCGGCTTGAGCGCTTTCAGAAAACGTAATATTGGCCTCTCTACTATTTTCAAATTGGAAGATTTCATTGAAGCTGGATGTAGTTACAGAATTTCAAAAATTTTGGTGCGAGAATTAATCAACCTAATACATGCCCCCTGCCCCTAAAATAGGTCGCGAAATTCAAAGCGGTCTATCTATGTAATTACAAAATTGTGCTGAAGACTTGTCTTTATCAAATTAGTTAAAATTTCATGACATATTTTCTGTTGCGGCTATGAATCTTCCTCTTGAGATTCGAAAAGTTATGAGCATGCCAGAGACTTGAGATACAGAGCCATATTTTTTTTGAGGGGTGTTTATCGTCACATTTTTCCAAATAAAATCTGTCCCTCTTTCCCGAAAAATTCTTTTGACCGCCAATATGTGTACATTATTATTTGATGATTACTGAATTTGAAATATCTAAAGTTTTTGGGTGTGCAGATTCATCAAAAAACAAAAAAAAATTAGGAAATTGTTAAAACTCTCACCCATTCCAAGCGTAATCAGAGCTTTCCCAAGGAAGAGCAATATGCCAGCCACTTGGTTCACGACCGCGGCTCTTACACAATTTCTAACCAACAACATAAAGCTATCCTTAGCTGACGTGAAGAAATTTTTCCCATAAATTGCCATCTAAAATGCCAAATTCATGTCTGCCTAGCACAATTTCCTTAAATCAAATATTTAAGCAAATTATGCGTAAAAAATTGTACTATCAAAGCACTATAGCTTACCATAATAAAGGCATTCTTAGTGAGGAATTTGAAGAATACTTCCATGCACCAAAAGCAACATTTCAAAGCTCTGAAACATATAACAGTGTAAAAAATTGAAATAAACTATGTATGGAAAACTCACGACAAAATAGTTTTGAGTACAACACTGTTCGTTGTTTGAAGCTTTTTGTCCAAATACTCCAAAATTACACGTATTAGCTTGATCACAGCTATTATTAAGGAGCCAAATGCCAATGATCCGAGATTGTAACTGAGAAGAAAATGTATGGAATGGGAAAAAAACAAAACTGTTTTAGTATAAAAATTCCTACCGAATGGCACGACCCAAAGCTCTCAGAACTGGGAACGTTGGTACATCTTTGGGTTTGTTTTTTGCCCAATAATAACTAGCAAATGCTCCAGCAAGGGAAATATCTCCTAAAACACGAGATTAGAGTTATTCAAGTAGGATTCAACATAGATACAGAAAAAATGAGTTCAAAAGACCAGAAGGTGAATAAGCCTAACAATTCTCATATAACAAAACAATAAAAAATGGTAGTAGCACAATTCCAAAAAAAGTTGGTAATGCCTTCTCTTACCTAAAGCAGAAACAAAACACGTCATCCAAAAGAAAGCAAAAAGATTATAAACTTGTAACCAGAATATTGTAGACTCTTGCTTAGTAAGACCCACGAAGATACAGGTGGGATCCTGAAAAATAAAGAACTACGAAATTTTTGAGAAAAAGAAATGTGTATGAACCTGAGCACTTGTAGAACAATCACAGGTAGTATTTCTGCCGTCGTTTTTAACACAGGTTTCAGCACCAGAAGATGCTAGCCAAATAGCAATTGTACCCCATATCGCAATCACCTGGAATTTTTCAAAAGCTAATTACAAAAGATAAAGTACAAAAGCACTGGTTGATCGACTTCATAGTGGAAGTTAACACTTCATAGAGAAAAGCGGTAAATTCTTAATAAAGGCTGCTTTGTCAAAGCTGGAATGGAGGGGGTGGATTCATTATTGAAAAAAATTCAAAAATCATTTAAAATAAATTTTGAAAGAAACATGGTCAATCGCAAATTCTGTAAAGCCTTTTTTGTTTGAAATTTTGTCGACTTATTGTAGGACTTAGGGGAGGGGGGAGGGGGGAGGGGTTAATATTATTACACTGTTTTTTTCCCATTCTCTCAAACTTGAAAGCAGAAATTTGGCGTGTGTATTCCCATATTTCACAAATTTCTGATTACTGGAAGTTTCCTTTACATGAAAAATGGAGCTTTTTTTGTTAAATCATATCACCATTCTAAGAGTTTACAAACTTACCAAAAGGTGAAGTGCAAATGGAAAGATAGGAAATATCAGCGTTGACATCATACAACCAACTGCCCTGAAACAAAAATATATATCAATCAAAGAATTCCTTGAATCAATGTTAGCTTAGGACATTTTTTGTTCTATAAGTATTATTCCAAATCGGTTTTCAATGCAACTATTTTGGTCGACAAAAATTCTACATTCCCTCGTGAAATGGAAACTATTTTAGAGAGTTTTTGTATATAGTGCACAGTAGAGACAGATCCAGTCTAGATGTAAGGTCGTTTACCGGTTTTAGGTGTAGACTAATCCGGTTCAGACGAATTTATTTCGTTTTCCATTTACAATTATGTTTCGAGTGCAGAAAAAGACATTAATAACATTCATCAAACTCACTGTCCTTTTCAGTAAACTCAATCTGCGATAAAAATCAGCTAAAATATAATTAGAAATGAACAAATGCATTACTTTTGTAAGTGCAAAAAAAAGGAAAAATTAGAGATGTGTTATTCAGTTAGAAAGATTTTGCAAAATGTTTGATGTGTCTGAAAAAAAAAAGGTGAGGGATGTTTCTTTTTTACTCGTATCAAAATCAAATTGTTTAAATATTGCAAATAAATTAAATATTTAGAATTACTCACTTGCTGGACTCCTCGATCAGTGCTACTGCAATAGATATTCTTTTCCTTACGAACAGGAGTATTAGAAGGAGGAGAAGCAAAGCCGAACTCACGATAATAGCTGAAAAGTGAAGTTTCAAAAGCTATCACAGCTCTTACCCCCAAAAATTCTTCAAAAGCGCTCAAACTTCATCATTTTCCTCATCCAAAATTCAGTGAAAAAAAAAAGACCACTTAGTGCCTTATTTCAGCGCAAATGTTCAAAGAACATTCCATATAAGTACATTCTTGACATACTTTATGCAAAATTCATACTCACCCACAACCAGCCACGTAGTTGGCATCTCAAAATAAACACTGAATATTGGTTGAAAAGAAAAATCATCCACTGCACCAGCTTTTCTCAAATTATTCCATTTAAACCAGCTGTATCCGCATCCTAGACCGTCGAATTAGAGTCTCTAACATAATTAAAAGTCTCAAAGAGTAAACCTGCTCCAAGAATTCCTAGTATAGCGAGGATTGATGTCCAGATCATGAAACCTCCAAGAATTCTCAGAATTACTGTCCAGAGAAAGGCTAGGACTCCTGCAGCAACAACTAGCGCAGCTATCTGCAAAGTTTCTTTGATTGATTATCATTTAGAATGATTCATGAAAAATATCTTTGTCCCTTGAATTGTTTTCACTTGAGCAAGACATGTTTTCGTCGAATTACTTATATTTCGATGAACAAAAGCTTTACAAGATGACCAACACATATATAAAACGCTAAAATAGCACAAAAGTAAACACTCGCATTTTATTTGGAAAACTCATAGATTCTTGCTTTGCTTTGACCGAAGTATGGATTTGCTTTGATCGAAATGAAGAGAAAAAATCTTTGAAACCAGTAGTTCCTTGATTTGTGTTTTGTCATCAAAACAACAAATTATTAAGCTGATGCAATAATAATGGCCGTTCTTCCACGCCTTTTTCAGAACAAGTTTTTCTTATCAAATTTCTTAATTCAGACAGACATAGCATACCATTGCGAGGTTCTTTTCGTGTTCCATCTAGTGACGGTTGTAGCAGGCTCACAGTCTCATTTGTTAAAAAATTCAGCTGCTCAATACTCAAAAAATCAAATATTCTGTAAATTGGGATTCGCGTCATACTGAAAAAAATGTTGAAAAAACTGACAATTTGCAACTATAATTTTTTTTTAATTTCCCAAATCTTCTTTGCTCATCACCTTTCGTCTTTTTTTTGTCCTACTGCTTGCGGCTATAAGATACAATACCGCTCATAATTCGTCAAAAAAGTCGCCGGACTGCGGCGCACTCCGCCACACTCCGCCACAGTGCGCCGGAGTGCGGCAGAGTGCGCCACACTCCGCCGCAGTGCGCCGGAATGATCGTCAATTTAGCCATATCTCGCTTCAGAATGGATGAATTCTGAATCCGAGGACACCGTTCGATTCAGCTCGACGAGACGCATCATCTTATATATGAAGCTGAACGTCTGTTTGTCTGTTTGTCTGTACGTATGTTGCGAACAGAAAAATCCATTTCTGAACCGATCCGGACCAAACTTGGCACACATACACTTCGGGCACCGGCGGGTGTCATAGGCTGCTTTTCGTCATCGATCGATATCGATTTTATCGATTTTTATCGATTTTTTGCAGAGTTCACCTACGGGGCTGGGAGTTTGCATAGGGGGGTAATCGAGCATGGGGATTCCGAATACAATATTAGTTTTCGGGATTATCGATTACTTTTATCGATTTTATCGATTTTTTGCAAAGTTTGAGCTACGGGGCTGGGAGTTTGCACAATCACAGTGGTAATCGAGCATGGGGATTCCGAATACAATATTAGTTTTCAGATTATCGATTATTATTTTGGTTGTATTCAGAGTGCTGATAACAGTATTACCATTGATCTGTCGCTGATGACACATAGACAGTATACTATAGGAGTATGGTAGAGAGCCACTCTGATCGAATTTGTTCTAAGATCTGCTCAAGATCACAATACCGCGACAGAATGTCAAAATTTCCGTGAACTTCGCGGAATTCTGGGATTTCCACCAAAGTGCGCGATAATCCGGGAAGTTCGCGACATTTCAGGATCCGCGAAACCATGCGATCTTGAGCAGATCTTAGAACAAATTCGATCAGAGTGGCTCTCTACCATACTCCTATAGTATACTGTCTATGTGTCATCAGCGACAGATCAATGGTAATACTGTTATCAGCACTCTGAATACACCAAAAATAATAATCGATAATCTGAAAACTAATATTGTATTCGGAATCCCCCATGCTCGATTACCACTGTGATTGTGCAAACTAGTACTCTGCGTTGATACCAATCTCTCTCTTTTCCTCCTCCTCCGTTGTTGTTGCTTGAGAGAGATTGGTATCAACGCAGAGTACTAGTTTGCACAATCCACAGTGGTAATCGAGCATGGGGATTCCGAATACAATATTAGTTTTCAGATTATCGATTATTATTTTGGTTGTATTCAGAGTGCTGATAACAGTATACCATTGATCTGTCGCTGATTGACACATAGACAGTATACTATAGGAGTATGGTAGAGAGCCACTCTGATCGAATTTGTTCTAAGATCTGCTCAAGATCACAATACCGCGACAGAATGTCAGATTTCCGTGAACTTCGCGGAATTCTGGGATTTCCACCAAAGTGCGCGATAATCCGGGAAGTTCGCGACATTTCAGGATCCGCGAAACCATGCGAATCACGCAGAGTACGCAACGCCATAACATCCTTCGGAATGAATAAATTCCGAATCCAGAAGCAGCATTGTGTTCAGATCGTCGAGGCTATTTTGATATACAGTATGCTCTCGATATTCCATTTCCGGTTTTTTCGAATTTTTTCTGTGGAGGTCTTTTTGCAAGGATGTAACGCAGCGTCTGTGTAACATAAAAGATTCCAGTAAGCACTGTTCGATAGTACTGTCCTTGTAGGTTATCGTGCGTTCAAGAGTAGCTGCAGACTGTCTCCCAAAAGAGAGAGAAGCGTTGGTGAATTTTGGAAAAATCACGCGTTTCTAAATTCTACTCTCCGTAACTTCCTTCGGAATGAACATATTCTGAATCCGAAGAAAGCTTTGTGCTCAGTTCATCAAGGCAAATCTTTAGATATACAGCATATCCTTGATATTTTGATTTCAATATTCTCAAATCTTTCTGTGGACGTGTTTTTGTGATGGTTTAAAGCAGCGCGCATTGCTCCTAATAGACTCCAGCGAGGACCTTTCGATAGTACTTTTTCTGTAGATTACGTAGCGCTAAAAAGTAGTCACAGGCATCTTTCCATAGGAGTTAGAAGGGCTGGTGAATTCTGGAAAAATCATGTCGTTCTAAATTTTTCTCAACGTAACTCTAAAATATGAAGCTCTCTTGCTAAGCAGATGTGATTTTCGTAATCAGCAGGTCGGATAACCCTTACAAGCA